TTTTAATTTAATTTTTATTTTACTTTTATAAATTTTTATTTTTTACCTACGTGACTTTACCGAAAAAACCTAAGAATAGGAACAGTCTACCCAATTCGCCGATGTGGGTGATGATACTGAGCCATATCAAACCAGCTCTAACCATCTCATGCCACTCACGCCATCTCAGACCATCCAATAGTCTCCACCTCATCCTCAGTTCGTACGTCTTCGAAACCAGACGTCGAATCACTGCATGGGTTCGGCTGCTCGTATTTTCTTTCTCCACCAGCTCCTATTGTCTGCCTGTATGTGTGTGTGTTGAACTTCTTTAGCACCATACCATACGTAGCCAAACCGTGCTAATCGCAGGTGCACCGTCCTCATGCACCCTCTCACCTCACCCTCGATCTGCCGCTACTCCTGTAACCGGTGGCATCTCCACAGCACGTCATTTTTGATTGGCCTTTCCTACAAGCACACATGGCCAGACCTGAGAACAGACGGTGGTTCTTCAGGCGCATCGGCAACACTTCCTCCACCATCTACGCCATCGGCTGCCATTCCAAGCGATGTCGACCGCTCGCGGTCCCTTGCAGCGCCTGTCCCCATCTCACCGAGACAAAACCGCGTGCCACCAACGCGGGCCTGCGAAGAACGATCGGCTGGGAGATTGTCCGTACATATGTAATGAGAGCCTATGTCCGGCTCACGTGGTGATCGGCTCTGCCGGTCCTGCTCTACAGCCAATGGGGGGAGAGCCTGGGAGCATGGCCCTGGCGTGATCGAGAGATGTCAGCTAGGTGATTGGTTCTGCTGGTCTTGGCCTCAGCCAATGGGAAGACAAGTCAGGGGCGTGGTCCCGGGAGTTGATGGGGAATCTGGAACATTCAGCACAGGCTATTAAGGATTGGCTGGAGCGTACCACGTGACCCAGGCATTAAATAAGGGAAGAGCCGAGTGACACGTGATCAGACGAGGAACGAAGAGAGAGAGTGGGGCCACGCGCGAGCGGGGCTCCGAGTGCCACGTGGCGGTGCGTCTCTTGCGATCTGTCTGCCCACTTCCCGTTGCCTGCCAGCAACGGGGAGTGCTTGTGAACTGAAATAAGTAAATAAAAGGACCGATTCCACAAGCCGTCTCCAAGAGTATTATTACACATACATGGGGTGGTAGAGGTGACTGCGTGCCTTTGCGGGGTGTCAGAAGACCCTGCCCAGCCAGCACCGCTGAGATCCTGGGTCCGGATCCAGGTCTCGGCCGCCCAGACACAGTTCGCGGCTAAATGCTCGCCATGACCGTGAGCAGAATTCAGGTCCCCAGCTTTCTAGCGGAATACGCTAAACCGCTGCTTAATAGTAGGTTATCTCGTACTGGTAGGAACCTCCTGGTTACATAAGCCCACAGGGGATTATTATGTCTGTCCGTCGTGCATCCAAAAATGGGAGGGGTGGGGCTGGGTGGGGAGGGGCTGGGTGGGGAAGGAGGGGAGGGTGGGGAGGGGCTGGGTGGGGCTGGGTGGGGGTGGGAGGGGTGGGGCTGGGTGGGGAGGGGCTGGTCACCCCGTGATGCCCTTATAAAACTCAACGTTTAACCTACTCACGCCGGCTTGTGCCCGCCCTCACAGTCGGCCATATTTGCGGAATACACCACGCCGCCGTTGACCCTGGCCATTGACCGTGCAACCCAACGTTCCTACCAGCTCCCTCCGCAGGACAATGTGTTTATACTTTCCCGCAGTGATATATGACAGGGATGCTGCTACCCTGGTGTAATGGTTAACCTTTAGTAGGCCAAGGAATGGGTTCTCTTGGAGCTCCCCCTAGTGGAAGTTCTATCCTCCGCCAGCGGTGGGGTAATAAAAAAAAAAGTTCGGGGCTACATCTTGAAAAAAAAAACATAACCAAATGGCTTCATCGTTACACGGAGGAGGGGGCTTCAGGGAGAAAGGACTGAGGCTGACCGGGCTGGTGGCAGCGGCGGTGGTGCCGTGAGCGATAGATCCGTCCGGCGTTTCGGTGGAGTCGGGGGTGCCCCCCCCCTCCTTACCACCACCCCCCAGGGCTCCACGTGAGTTACGCTGATGCGAGTTAAGTGATGGAGGAGGCACAGAGCGAAAGCCGTCTCTGGCAGGCTCCGTGCCGAGCGGGGCCGCAGCCGTCCATTTGTCAGCGTTCTCTCCGGGACCGGCGCTTTTGGGGAGGAGAACGGGCAAGGCAGCTCAAAGCCCCCCCCCCCCCCCCCCCCCCCCCCCGTGATGCCCGACAGACGCGATGAAGTTGCATCTGAAAAAAAACCTCTCCGTGCTTCTGTGCACACTTGTCAGCTCTTGTTCCATTTTCGGAGGCAGGCGACTCCCACCACCACCACCACAACCATCCACCACAACCATCCACCACCACAACCATCCACCACAACCACCACCACCATCACAACCATCCACCACAATCACCACCAACCACTACCGCAACCACTTCAAAGGGATACCTTGACATTCAGTCGCATTTAAGTAAAAGTGCAGTCCTGCAATTTCTTTCTAACGCTACTGCTGGCTGAAGGTCTTCTACTAAAAAGAAGCCACTATATGCGTTACTTGGCCTACTCGTGCACGCTGGCTAGACGTATTAGAAGAGGCAGGAGTACCCACACTTTATCCCACCGGACGCGACACTGCCAATCGACTTAGCTGTTGTGAACTCTTCTTGGTTCATTCGGTAAAGTCACGTAGACGGGAAATAATAAAATAATAAAAATAAAACATTATAAAATACAATTCTCACGACGTTTCGGCCACAACGCAAGCAGCCGTCTTCAGGTGAAGAACGGGGCTGTCGGAAAGACAGCGTCTTCCGACAGGCCTGTTCTTCAGCGTCCGAATGACGTTGTCTTTCCGACAGCCCTGTTCTTCACCTGAGGACGGCTGCTTGCATTGTGGCCGAAACGTCGTGAAAATTTTATTTTTCTTGTTTTATTTTTATTATTTTATTATTTCCCTTTTACGTGACTTTACCGAAAGAACCAAGAAGATGAATCCCTGCAGTCACGAAAGCTTTAAATCGAAATGTTGTGAACTCTTTTTATCGTTTTATTTTTATTATTTTATCTCATTGTTTTTCCCTTCTACGTGACCGATAGAACCAAGAATATGTTGTGAACTCATTTACAGAGCTGGGTGGACGGGGTGTGTGGGGGGGGGTGAAGGGTGGTTGGGGCATTTGAGAAACCTGCACCATCGATTCAACTGCCGGACGGACAGGGAGCTGGAATCGAACCGGCGACCTTTGGATCGTCCAGTGTGCTTTCTAACCATTACGCCGCTGTTGCAACTGAGAAGCAATATCATTCTGAATCGTATCGATTTAGCTCTGCTTCTCGCTCTGCTCGTTTCCCATTACCATGATTGGACAACTCCACCGTCTTCTGGACACGATGTCCCCCCCCCGCACCCCGCCGCCCTCATTCACTGCGTTTGTGCTTTTGAATGTATTCGTGTTTCATTGATTTATCGCGAAACAAAAAATATACACAAATGTGTTCGTGACCGTTTTATAATTAGAGCGGCGGCGGCGGGGCTGCGGCGCGGTGCGGGTGGTGAACGCAACTCACTATAAATCCACCAAATCTGGGTTCGACTCACGGACATGGCTAACATCGCCAGCAAGTTGTTTTTTTTTTGCTCGTTTATTTTTAAATGCCACGGTAGCCAAGCACAGGCTCAAAGGCCAAAAATCCCCGTAGCCAGCAACAGACGGCGCTGGAAAAGCCGTAAAGCTAACAGCGATAACACATTTCTAGAAATGAGCAAGGTTACTGTAAGGACGTGGAATTAGGAACAATGGGAGGGAATTCCAAAGTGGCGATTGTACCCCGACGCCAATGTGAAACCAAAAAAGACAAAAGATTTCCCGTATAGCCTTAATAGACTGTTGGGGCAAGTGCTGTTAGCGAGCACCTATGAAGGCTGGAACACACGAAAAGGTGGGTGGCCAGCACCACGCCTGGCCGCCTTTGTCTCCCCAGTGATGATGTTTACACACTGCCCCAGCTACTTATTTAAGGCTGAGTCGATCAAGGGGAGGCCCAGGACCGGTTCAGATAGTCTCCACTGGTGTTGTTGGACGTGAGCGGGGATCGAACCCTGGTCGGCGGGTTCGTAGCGCAGTGCGCTAACCGCTACACTACCGCTCCCCTAATGTGCTATCACAACACAACAACAACAGCAACAAACAGCTCGAATGTCTTGAACGAAGAAGATCACAAAGGTCACTCGTTTCTCCCTCTCTCTTCATGGGAAGACCCCAGTGACCGCCCGCCCGCCCGCAACCACCACACGGCCTCAATCCGCCCGAATCTGCGCGGTCAATCGTGACTGCGCCTGACAAATAATCCTTGTGCGCGGGGCGGGGGGGAGGGAGAAGGCGCGGTGGGGGGATGGGGGTACGGGGTCTCCCGGCGAGGGTCCGCGTGCGGAGGACGGCTCGATCGTCATGACGGAGGGGCGGCGCTCGGCTTCGTGAATAACCGAGCGAGACCGCGGCGGCGGCGGCGGAGGTGGCGGCGCGTGCCGAAAAATCGGCGCGCGCAACAACGGAGAAATCGAGACGGAGAATACACGGCGAGATGGGGCGAGATGGGACGAATGGGGGCCTGGGAGGGGGAAGATGCATGCGCTAGCAACGATCTGACACACAAACGATTGGAGACCTAGATAAATGTGCGTGTGCGTGTGTATATGCACGAGAGGGAGATAGCAACCGGCGGGCAGATGACGGAATAGACGGATGGACGGATAGATGGACAATCGGGCTAACAGTCAGACTGACAGATAGGCTAATAGACGGACAAATAGGCGAACAGGCAGATGGATGGACAGGTGGAGGAACGAACAGACAGACTTCATACAGACGGTGGGGTGTGTAGGTGGGATCGTTACTGCACGCTGGCGAGCAGACAGACACAGACAGACCGTAGACAGACAGACGGTGGGGTGAGTGGGGGGGGGTGGTGGGTGTGCCGCTTACTGCACGCTGGCGAGCTTGACGATGGCCTTGGTGAGCAGCGTGGGCCACAGCTCAGCGGGGCCGGTGCACGTGGGCAGCAGCGCGCGGTTGGCCTCGTCAAACGGGACCGTGTCGTCCACCGTCACGCGGCGCCAGCAGCCCTGGCACGCAACGCACGCACAGAGCTCCCCTGTACAGCCCCCCCGCCTATTACGGCCGGCACGGCACACGTGCGCACTCGAGCGCAGGTTGCCCACTGTCTTCTTCGTTCTTTTGGTAAAGTCACGTAGAATGGAAACAATAAAAATAATAAAATAAAACATTTCGATTTAAAGCTTTCGTGACTGCAGGGATTCATCTTCTTGGTTGTTTCGGTAAAGTCACGTAGAAGGGAAGTAATAAAATAATAAAAATAAAACATAATAAAATAATTCTCACGACGTTTCGGCCACAACGCAAGCAGCCGTCATCAGGTGAAGACCGCTGTCTCCCCGACAGACCTGGTCTTCACCTGATGACGGCTGCTTGCGTTGTGGCCGAAACGTCGGGAGAATTATTTTATTATGTTTTATTTTAGTATTTTTATTGTTTCCATTCTACGTGACTTTACCGAAAGAACCAAGAAGATGAATCCCTGCAGTCACGAAAGCTTTAAATCGAAAATTACCCACGTGTGTTTAGGCACACGCGCACATGTACACACGGACAAAGATCCCTCTCCACCCCGATAGCCTGTGTGCACGTGCACACACGACGTGCGTCACACGTGACTCACAGAACAGTCATGCTTTCAACCGGGAAGTTGCCCGTCTTGTACAATCCTCGGCCTTGTTCGTTGTTATTTCGTATTATAACCGGGTGCCTTTATTGTCTTCACTCGAACGTCCATTAAACATTCGCGACGTGAATAACGCTGGAGAAAGCGTGCGCGTCCATGCCGCGCAGACGCAGTGTAGCTGTTCCAATTTAGTTTTTCTACCTACGTGACTTTACCGAAAGAGCCAAAGAGTATGGATTCCTGCAGTCACGAAAGCTTCAAATCAATATTGTTCCAATTTTGTTGCCTTTTTTCTATGATTATAAATGGGTGAAGTTGTTGTATTTCTAAACACTTTCTAAATATATTTATGGACCATAAATATGGGCATTGGCTGGACTGAGAACATAAAATTACTGCACTTGATAACAGTTTAATCACAACTCAGTCTACGTAGCAATGTGGGTCTCTCTGTGAGTCTAATGGTCTCATTAGTGAACGAGCTGAGACCATGAACGCACTATACTTGAGACCTTAGTCTATATTAATCTCGACGTGGGTCTGTATTAGCCTATGCATCTCTATGCAAATGTATGGGTCTCTGTGTAAGTCTATGGGTTCTGTGTGAGTCGTTGGTGGCCGGGCTGACACCATCAACTCGCTCGCTGCAATTGAGAATGTGCTGTAATCAGGGTCGGGCGGCTGCCATCCGGGTTGGAACCCAAAGGTCTCAGCGGTGTCAACTCAGCGCTCTGCAGAGTTCGCAAACGGGTTTTGATTCCTTACCCGTACCCGTACCCGGCCGCACCAGGGTCGCAAACGGGTAGCCGTACCCGTACCCGGCCGGGTACGGGTAGCCGGGTATCAGGTAGGGTACGGGTATCGGGTACCCGGTTGCGACCTCTGCCGGTCTGACCTCGGAGCCACCAGGCCACCTCCCTCGTGGAAGTGGACGTTAAAGACCCTCTGGCACCAGGTGCCAACATCTGACTCCTGGAAATGACCCGCACTGAAGGCTGTAATGGCAGGAATAGGGGTAGCTCATCTTCTTGGTTCTTTCGGCAAAGTCATGTAGAAGGGAAATAATAAAATAATAAAGAAAAAATTTATTAAATAATAAAAATAACACAACGCAAGCAGCCGTCCTCAGGTGAAGAACAGGGCTGTCGGAAAGACAGCGTCCCTCATTGGGACGCTGCCGAAACGTGAGAATTTTATTTTATTATGTTTTATTTTAATTATTTTACTATTTAACTTCTACGTGACTTTACCGAAAGAACCAAGAAGATGAATCCCTGCAGCCACGAATGCTTTAAATCGAAAAATAGGGGTAGATGTTCTTTCCTTGTGTGGATAACCAAGGCTAAATGGTATTTCATGTGGACGAACACAAGACATTGAATGGTTGGATGGTTTATTGACTGACAAATTGACTCACTAATTGACCAATTGATTGGATGATTGATGCCCTGACTGAACTACTGGCTGACCGATTGATTGGTTGATTGATTGACTGACTAATCGTCATCCTTAATGAATACCTGGGGCTGTGGTCACTTTCCCGTGGAATCTGAACATTCCGATTGGAATATTGAGTCGGCAAAGTCCTGGTCGACTTAGCAGTCTTCTCCAGTGCTCAAGGTTAGCGCTGACCTCTCCAAACAAGCAATGATGTGTGGCTGATGGGATTTGTAATAAGTAATATTTAAAAATAAATTTTTTAAAACACGCTTTAATGAAATGTACCGTACTCGTAATGGAAAAAAACTCCACTACTCCAGGAAGTGGCCCCGAAGCTTGCCATAACGTAAGGGACCGTGGTGATTTACAGCCAACGTCAGTTGAGCGTGGACACTTAGACCCAAGCCGAAACTTGACATATAAAAAAGATGGTTTAAAAATATATTTTAAATTGTTATGATAGAATATAGTATTGTCATCAGTATGACATAAGTATACCAAGTTTGCAGTCGATACCACATTGGGAAGTGGGTTAAAATTAAGTTACAAGATTTGAGGATACGACAACAACGACAACAACAACAGACATAATGATTTAAATAAAAGCGTGTAAAAAAAAGAAGGGATGTGGGAAGGAGGCCAATTGTCTGCTCATTTATTTTGCTACTTATCTCTGAGATATAGGGCGGATGAAGCGGTAACATCTGTGTTGCTGCCCTAATGTGGAAATGGATGCTGCTCCTCCATACAGCTCACTGCTGTTCCTGTTCGCTGGCTCCTTCTGTACTCTCCCTCTCTTCCCCCCACGTGATGATGATAAGTCACTTCGTTGAGCTATCACTAACAGCTCAGTGGGGTATAGTAGTAGGTTTTTACCCTTTTAAACTGGTACAAAACTGACACCTTTATTCAAGGCATCATGTTTGCAATAACCACAACACAAGCAGTCAAAACGCAAACAAAAAGAAACAACTCTGATAATGATATGCACTGTCCTTGAAGTTGATTGGTCCACACCCGAGACGGCTTTCTTTAGAGCCTAGTCCCATTGGTGTTGGACCAGATGACACCAGAAGGCGTACAACTCAAACACAGTGCAATATCAGAGTATTGAGAGCTCGGGGTAAGCATTTACTCTATGAGATCTCTTTTACCAGTGGCAAAATATAGTAGTAGGTTTTTACCCTTTTAAACTGGTACAAAACTGACACCTTTATTCAAGGCATCGTGTTTGCAAACACGATGCCTTGAATAATGGTGCAAACATGAATAATGGTGTCAGTTTTGTACCAGTTTAAAAGGGTAAAAACCTACTACTATATTTTGCTACTGGTAAAAGAGATCTCATAGAGCTCAGTAGGCTTTAGTTTTAGTTCATTTGTTTGTTTCTAGTGATTTGTTTACTTTTCATATAGTTTGACACGCCAATGTTTTTTTATTATTATATTGATGTCATTGTCATTTTCTGACCCACCCCGACTGGACATCTGTGATAACGAGCTTCATAGCTCATCGGATTTCTCCAAGGTAAACAAAGCTTCTGATTCTGATCATCGTCACCACCCTCTGATCATCCCTCGACATCTTAGCCCCGGTCGTTCCCTCTCCTCCTCCTACCCTTCCAGCCCAGCACCACCCCTCCTTCCCTCACGAGCCATGCCCCCTTCCGCCATCCCTTGCTCTTTTCCCAGCCGCCACGTGACCCTCACTGCTGCCCCTTTTCCCGGGAACCGACTCCAACTACGACTGCTCCCCTGCCCAAGGGCGGCGGGCGAGGTCGGCACAGGCAACAATAAGATAACCTGTAAAAACAAAGTTTTTCACTCTAAATCTTTATATGCGTGGCGGCTAGAGTCCTCTCGTCCTCTGGCTTGAGATGGCTGCCACCTATGGGTCAGATGATTGCATGGCAGCATTAAGCAATTGGTAATTAAATATAATATTTTTTGTCCTAAAAAGTGTAAAATTTTGGAAAAAAAAATTTCACGAACATTAATTGTCACGCACAACGAGTCTGTGTACAAAATGTCAGCTCGATTGGATCACGGTAAGTGGGTTAAAAAACGACCGAAAGATTTGCACGGTCGTAAGCAAGCAAGCAAGTGAACTTAATATAAAGGATTTAAAAAGGCTCGGCAATCTCTCCGCGGCGACGGTGCCCCCCGATTCCGTGCCGCCCTTACCATCCAGTAGAGACGCACGACGTATTTCCCGTAACCGTTGAACTGCGGCACGTGCGGAGCCCGGCCAGCCTTGCAGAGCGAGTAGACGTGCTCCCAGGGGTTCCACGGCCGCTGACCGGGGTGCCCCCCGCCACCTGAGCCCCCCGCGGGATCGTCGGCCGCGGCACCTCCGCCCGATCGGGTCGCACGCCAAAGCGACGTGACGTCGCTGATCACGCTGCGCATCAGCTGAGCGAAACCGCGACAGCGGCAGACGAGCGCGGAGTGTCGGGGTTAACGGCCGTGAAGGGGCGACGCGATGGTTAGGCGAGGGACTGTTGAGGCTGCCGTAGCATGTGATGGGGAGCGGTGTGTCCGACAAAAGGCATACACCCGGCGAACATGTTCGGAGGCTTCGTTATCATCAACAGCATCGTCGACGTCGTCTTTATCGTCAGCGCCATTGTCATCAACATCATGGTCACCATCAGTGATATACACACCATCTTGAAAAACACAGAATCCAGCAATTGTAAATCCACTTACGGATGAAGTGCTCACCACACCATGCCAGCCTTGTGGGTTTGTGACCATACTTCACCATTCTGGTCAGTGGGGGTTAATGAAGGGGGGGAGGGGCAGTGCAAGGGGGGTGTAGGTCGGGACCAGTACTGACATTACTTGCCACTGATGTCAGCCGTGGCCGGGAAGCGAAACACGGGTCGCCGAGTTAATATCGCAGCACGCTGACCACTTTCACCACCGCTCCACCCAACACGTGACATTTACGAGGTGAAAAACATCGACTCCTGGACACACGGTGTGCTTCGTGTATCATGAGCTTAAGGAACGATGCTCATCGATCGATGACTCGCTCGATGACTGGGAGTTGAACCCAGGCCACGGGGAGTGCGGTGCACGGACATCGCGCACAGACGCTACTCACGGGCGCAAAGCAGGGCAGCTAGATGTTGACTGCCGATGTAAATCCATCCACTCGAGTGTCATGAGACATGGAATGGCAAGGCCACTAACTCTGAGAAGAAATTAAACTTCACTTCCAAAGGGCAGGAGCTTGAGTGGTGGGTGTGTTTAACGTGTGTACTGCGTGCGCTGCGTGTGTTGTGTTCTGTGTGTGCTGTGTCTGCGCGAGTGGTGCATGTACACCGTGTGTGTTTCATGTGTACTGCGTGTACTGCGTGTGTTGTGTACGGTGTTTCGCGTGTGTGTGTGGGGGTGCACAATGTGGGGAGTGGGAATGTTAGTGGTTAGCGCGGCGCTGTGCTACGAACGCGGCGACCCGAGTTCAATTCCCGCTCACGACCAATAAACACTCGCGATTATGTGAACCGGTCCTGGGCCTCCTCTAGGTCGACTCAGCCATACATTAGGACCTGGTGCGGTGTGTAAACATCGCCACTGGGGAGACAAAGGCGGCCGGGCGTGGTGCTGGCCCACCCTCCCCCTCGTGTGCCATGCCGGCATTCATAGGTGTTCGCTAACAGAACTTGCCCCAACAGTCTGTTAAAGACTATACGGGGGATCTTTGTCTTTGGGGTGGGAGGAAGAGGTGGCAGACTGGATAAGAACGACGACCTCGATGCCCTGAGTTCGATTCCCGACCACGGCTAACATCAGCGGCATCACCCACCGCGCACTGAGCAGCTACGACTCTTGAACCATGCGGTCCGTCCTCTCGGCACAAACGGTTGCCACCTGCGCTGGTTTTCCGAGGGTCATTCTCTTGTACAGGCAGCAGCTGTCCTGGGGAAATCTGTGAGCCTTCCCCCAGGGAGATTCAAAGTCCCAGGTTTTTTTCTCATCAGTTGCGCAATAATAATTATAATACGACACTGCTCTAGACCAGTGCTTCTCAACCTTTCCTGGACCCCAATTCGAATCTGCGAACGATGGGAAAACTCACTCGCCTACGGGGACACTCGCACGGGCTGCATACAAACAAGTGCACTGGTCGCATGTGCAAAGCGCTCAGCCTTATCCAGACCACCAGCTCAAAGGAACTGAACGTGTGGCCGCTTTGTCACTTAGATCGCCAGCTCACAGAATTAAGAAAATGTGATTATGCCAACAAAGACGTATGGCAGCAGTGAACATGGACGACTAACGAGGATGAAACCGGTCTACAGGTGTGTCCTTACTTCACCGCTGCTGCCTGTTTCGATGAGCCAAATCTTCTCAACCCCTTGAGTGGGTGGTTGTAAACAAAAACAACACGACCACGCATACAGTTCCCACTGAGGTGGAGGTCTGGCCAAGGCTAACAGCTGTGTTTGTGCACGCGACGCTGCACCACCTCCGTTGCGTTGTTAAATCTACTTTCTGAACCCGCAGGGCCGCGCCCGACCCTTCACGTCGTTCTCACCGACTATCGTGGGGTGTTCGTGGAAAAATAATAATCAGATCCTCAACAACTCCCACGTGGCCTTACGGACCAGGCCACAGGTTACGCTACCATGGCTCCAGACAATACATTTACGAAATTGCTATTTGCCCTCGATATGATTATGTACGTAATCATTGTACGGTGTGAAATGCGATTGCATGAATGACGCGATATGAAACTGAATTATTATTGTTGTTATTCCACCCACCCGCGCCCACCCACCGCCCCCTTAAGGTAGCGTCAAGATATCCGTCTGGGGTCGCACCTAAGAGTTGGCAAACCTTGCGGCGGCACGGGGCGGACACCAGCGGAGAGCTGGGACATCCGGCAAGGACTGGCTGTCTGCGTCACCGGACCCCATCTGTGCAGGCAGGGGCACCCCAAGTTCCCGCGGTTAATAGCGCCGGCCCCCTCTGGCGCCGGGCGCACCTGTTTATCTGGCACACCCCTCGCGAGAGGAGTCCTCTTTCTGTTGATTTAAAAAAAAAATGTACGCTTCCCAGGCCAAGGTTAAAAGTGTCAATGCATTGACTCCGTCTGCTCCATCCGTTCTTCCGTCCGTCCGTCCATCCGTCCGTCAATGTCACGGTAACTCTCGTGCAGATGATCGAATAACGAACTAAAACTTTTGTGTAAAGTCGCATTGCTCTTAGAGACTCAGCAGAGAGAAAACCGGCGGCATTGATCCAAAAGGTTTCCCAAAACCTAGAGACATGAACGATGAAAAAAAGGACTAATTGCAAACATGCAAAATGGCTTAAGCGTTTTGGTCTGAACGCTACCCATTGGCTTCTGTAATGCTAATAGTTTTAAAAATGTGCCTTATGAGGACAAACGCAAGTTGGAGACAGTTACATAACCCATCCACATGGGTGATTTTCCCTGCCCACTGCTATTTCTGACCGTGATGTCGGCGTCAATGTCACGTTCATTCGGAAAATCTCATAGGGCCGCCCCCCCCACCCCCCCCCCCCGCTCCATCCCCATGTTGGAAAACATCCTGTTGAAGTGTATATCACAAAACTACTTGAGATCATTTCGAATGACCTCTCGTACAGACAAATAGGGGGCAGCAATCTTGATTTGAAGCTTTCGTGACTGCAGGAATCCATACTCTTTGGTTCTTTCGGTAAAGTCACGTAGGTATAAAATAAAATTAATTAAATCACGACGTTTTGGGCGCAACACACAAGCGCCCGTCATCAGGTGGGACAACCACAGCAAGAAACAATTGCTGAAGTGGGCAAACAGAGGGTAGGTCCCTGAGAGAAACGCAACTTTGTACCAAAGTTTCGTTCCTATTGGATCATCTCTTCCACAGTAATCGTGGCACCCCCCCCCCCCCCCACCACCACATTACACACATACATCCACACACGTCCCACACGCTTCGATCGCAACACAAGCGGTCGTCCTCAGGCGGAAAAAATCTAATCCAGCAGTGGAACCGCTGGTTCAGCAGTTCGACTGCTGGATTATTTTAGTTTATACCTACGTGACTTTACCGAAAGAACCAAAGAGTAGGGGGCATCACTTTACCTCTACTGACTCGGGGCTTTCCTGGCTGGCTGGCTGGGTAGGTGGGGTGATAGGTGGGTGGGTAGGTGGGGTGATAGGTGGGTGGGTAGGTGGGGTGATAGGTGGGTGGGTAGGTGGGGTGATAGGTGGGTGGGTAGGTGGGGTGATAGGTGGGTGGGTAGGTGGGGTGATAGGTGGGTGGGTAGGTGGGGTGATAGGTGGGTGGGTAGGTGGGGTGATAGGTGGGTGGGTAGGTGGGGTGATAGGTGGTGGGTAGGTGGGGTGATAGGTGGGTGGGTAGGTGGGGTGATAGGTGGGTGGGTAGGTGGGGTGATAGGTGGGTGGGTAGGTGGGGTGATAGGTGGGTGGGTAGGTGGGGTGATAGGTGGGTGGGTAAGCGGATGAGTGGGTAATTGGGTGATTGGGTGGGTGGGTGGGTGAATGAGTGGGTGGATGATTGATTGGGTGGGTGGGCGAGCGAGTAAATGAGCGAGCGGGCGGGCGGGCGAGCGGGCGGGCGAACAGGCTGTCGTCATATGAGGAACGACACAGGCACAGCCAAATGTGTCAAATCAAATGTAAGAACCTATTTTGTAACATCGGTTGATCCTTGAGCTGGAACGATCGACCCAATGGTTTAAATAATTGACGGAGTTTTGTTTTTTTTGTCAATGTAAAGGGGGCGCTGGGATGCTGTGCATGATAATCATGCGTAGGAGCGGCATGCATTATATTGTGCATGCAAGACCAATTAATGGAGACCGGACGTCAATTGCAGAAGAGGCGCCAGCTCATCCCAGGCTCTATGAAGCGTCACCGACCAAAGAGAAATTCTGAAAAATGTGCTCTTAATTAATTCTCGGGGCACGACAAAAGGAAGCTGTCTTTAATATATTTTTTTGTTACGCGAGGCATCTTGGGTTGCGAGATTTTGAAAACCCGTGTAAGCAAACGACACGGCGCCACTAATGAGACGTCGTCGTTTCTGGCGGGTGAGCGCTGAAGCGGCGGGTGGGCGGGCGTGGGGGGAGGGGGAAGAAGGGATGCCGCTAACGAATGTGCCGAGTAAAAAGGAAAAATCGCAATACAAATCGGATTTAAAAAGCGGCGCTAAACGCAACGGAATCGTAAGAGGTGGCCAACGATTCACTCCAAGGTCTGCTGACGGAGCCTCTCCCCCCCACACACACCTCCCCTGCCCCCCTAAAGTCAACTTTTGCTCACCTGGAGGTCGCTCAAGGTAAGGCAGGGTAAGGTAAAAAGTTAAAACAACGAGGCTACCTTTTCCCTACCTTTTACCTTACCACAATACAATCACTCTACCCTT